AGTGTGAGTGTGTGTGAGTGTGTGAGTGTGTGTGTGTGTGAGTGTGTGTGTGAGTGTGTGTGTGTGAGTGTGTGTGTGTGTGTGTTTGAAATACGTTTATACCACCATTTAAGAAAATCAAAATGATCTGTGTTACAGTGAGAAAAATAACAAGCTTCATGTTATTAACAATATTCTTAGTATTATTAGTATTTAAAATTTTATATATCTATCTATATATCTATATATATATATATTATAGATAATTATATATAATATAGTCTTTATAATGCTTTTATTATAATATTTTTATTTTTATAATATAATTCTAAATATATTTTAAATGATAATTATTCATGTTTAAAATTACCATATATATATATATAGTCAGTCATTTTATACATGAATAATTATGATACACACACACAATTATTCAAATATTATTAAATTATATATATATATATATAATTAGTAATTATTATTAATATCATATTATTCATTATTAATTAATAAATTTTTCATTATTATATTATAGTAATAATAATATATTTTTATAATATAACTAAATGTATATTATAAATTATAATTAATTCTGATTAAAATGAATGTGTATATACACACACAAAATTATTCAAATATAATATATATATGTGTGTGTGTGTGTGTGCATATAGTATTTAATAAACCTTATGCTTATATAAAGCTAGTACAATTATTACATTTTATATTACATTTATAATAATAATAATTGTTGCAATATAATTTTACATATATAATAAATGATAATTAATTAAGGATTAAAACTCTGATCAATTTATTCTTTAGTTATTCTGGTGTGATGTATTTGTTTCAGGCCAAGCAGAGGCACAACATCACGCTGCTGTGGGAGCGTCCCGTGCTGGAGCTGCTGGCTGGAGGATATAACCTGCATTACGGCGCGCGCTCCATCAAACACGAGGTGCTGATCAATACCTGCTAATCACTGATCAATACCAGCAGTCAGAGCTTCAGAATCCTGAACGACGCTGATTATCAGAAATGTTTCTTGAGCAGCAAATCAGCACATTAGAAGGATTCCTCTCTGCTTTTTCTGAATGCATGTTATTGACCTTATATTGTGAATATTTCATTGCGCATGTCAACATGGTTCATAATGTTTAATCTGAAAGTCATAACTGGACAACATTCTCCAATCATTTAGTCTCTCTGAGAGCCACGCCCACATCTCATCATCCAATCTGTGTGTCATCGTGTGTGTGTGTGTGTGTGTGTGTGTGTGTGTGTGTGTTATCGTGTGAGTGTGTGTGTGCGTGTGAGTGTGTGTGTGTGTTATCGTGTGTGTGTGTGTGTGTGTGTGTGTGT